GTGGCATGGTTCCAGTTTGGGACACACAGAGTAGTGGCATGGTTCCAGTTTGGGACACACAGAGTAGTGCCATGGTCCCACTTTGGGACAGGGAGTCACCATTGTAGTGGTTAAGGCATCTATCTGGCTGTTGAGCTCAAGATCTCAGGTTCGATTCCTTGCAGGATGGATACTAAGAAGTGCTAGTATAATCCAAAGAGCTGGTAAGAAGACCAATGTGTCGTGAAATGTTGTGCAAGGGTTCTAATAATAATTTAGTAAAGCATGTATGCATTATTGCATTCCTATTGTTTCCTTTGTCAGAAGTGGCAACGTCAGCCACCAAGTCTGTTACACAAAGGTGTTTACGTGCTGTGAGATTTTTTGTGGAATGTCGTGTCTTTTTTTTTTTTTTTTTTTTAATGATGAGGATAATGAAAAAGATTGCGCGTTTTAACAATGAGATGGCATAGACATGCAGCAGAATTGGAAAGCGTTTAGATTCTCTCTTCCAGCAAGAAATCACGCATGTTTTGATCGCGCGCCGCCACGCACTTTCTAACCTGTGAATGTGTGTTTTGAGGGGTTGCAACTGTGGGAAGGGTTGATGTGTACTCACTGCTCAGTGCTATTCACACCTTCTATATGTGCTTTATTTGAGGGCTAGCAACTGTGGGAAGGGTTTATGTGTGCTCACACCATCTAAATGCTTTTCTTTTTTGAGGGGTGGCAACTGTGAGAAGGGGGGTTACGTGCATTCAGCCCTTCTAAAATTATGCTTTTTTTAGGGGTGACAAACTGTGACAAGGGTTTATGTGCGCGCTCATACCTTTTGAATACTTCTTTGGAGGGGTGGCAACTGTGGGAAGGGTTTACGTGTCTTGAACTGGATTCACACCAAATGTTCTTTTAGAGGGGTGTCATCTGTGGGAAGGGTTTATTAAACTTTATTTATGTGTATTCATACCTTCTAAAGTTATGTTTTTTCGAGGGATGACGAACTGTGGGAAGGGCTTATGTGTATTCACACCTTCTAGATGTTTTTCTGAGGTGCGAGAACTGTGAGAAGGGTTTATAACTTTATGCGTATTCACATCTTTTGAATACCTTTTTTGAGGGGGGGGGGCAACTGTGGGAAGGGTTTATGTGCAGTCACACGTTCTAGATGTTTTTTTGAGGGGTGACATCTGTGGGAAGGGTTTATGTGCATTCGTGCCTTGTAAAAGTAAGTATGTTCTTTTTTTTTTTTTTTGAAAGGTGAGACACTGTGAGTAGGGTTTATGAAGGGTTTATGAAACTTTGTTTATTCGCTTTTTTTTTTTTTTTTTGAGGGTGGGAACTGTGGGAAGGGTTTATGTCTATTCACACCTCACTCACTAACGTCCAAAGGGTGACGGGCTTTTCTAACGTCGAAGGCAAAGTCAACAATGAGATGATCGTGTAAAGCCGGGGTTGATTGATTGCTGGATGATTGAGTGGGTGGGTGATCTGCTGCTTGCTTGATTGGTTGGTGCATGTGTGAGGCGATCGTCTCGACGGCCTGATTTCGGTGGATTGAACCCTCTTGGTGGCCTGATTGTCCTATTAAACTCTCTCGATTGCTTGATTGATTACTCGCTTGGTTCTTCACATGTTCACTCATGCCAATCAGTTCATGGATGGATTGACAGATTGCGACTGCAACTTGTCGTGCATGTAGGTGAGCTTTGCATGTTGTTGATTTGTGATTTGGTCAGCGTAGCAGTTTTGCGAGTACGGGCCTGATCGTGCTTGTCCATTCATTGACTTGGCTGCCATTGAGAGAGAATGAAGGATGTGGAGGTAACGGTCCCCATTGCCTATGGCACCATCTCTTTTTGGCTTGGGAAGAAGGCCGATGAGTAAGTTTCAAGCAAACCTCAATCCCCTCACCAACTCACCAACTCTCTCCAAGCATGGCTTTTGATTATGCGCGATTCCTCGAGGGGCCATTCGGGATGTCCATGTCGTTTGCAGGATGACCCCTTCCACCCCTCCCCCCCCTACCGCCCCCCCAAAAAGAAGGAAAAAAGAAATAAACTTGAGCAACTCCTAGTACTACATAAGCCAAGTTCAATTATGTCCCACAATACTCCCAATAGAGTGTCGTTATCCTGTGTGGTGTGGTCCCTCCGGTTCCAAACTGGTGTGGTGTGGTCCTTTGGGACACCTGTTGAAATTGGAACGATACACAGAAGATTAGCATCACCCCTGCGCAAGGATGACACACATAAATCTAGAAATGGTCCAAATTAGAAAAAAAGAAAAAAAAGGAAAAGATTTTGGGACACCTTAAACCACCAGGACCTTTCGCAGCTTGAAAATCTGAGTTGCGTGGGGTAACGCTGTGGGGTCGGCCAACAAACGCCTGGTCCTCCAACACCCGGTCGCAGTTGGAGGACCGGGCTGAAAACGAAAACTAGAAAAAACAAAAACAAAAAACCTATTCATACAAAAAAAAAAGAAAAACAAAGAAATTGAACAGGTAGATTTGTAACACGCGCCCGCACGCGCGTGAGTTTGAGAGAGAGAGAGAGAGAGAGAGAGAGAGAGAGAGAGAGAGAGAGAGAGAGAGAGAGAGAGAGAGAGAGAGAGAGAGAGAGAGAGAGAG